GATCTTTGCTGTCATAGAAATTGGGCATGGTCTCACATAACTGGATTCCAGACCATTCAGGACTAAAGATCAATGACAGAATCTTGAATATAACCTGGAAATGAATAAAAAAATCAATGTGGATATTAAGCACACATTTTGAATTCACACCAGCGAGCACCACTCAGGAGGTGGACAAATGCATTCTCCAAACTACAAACTGAAGGTAAGGAGTAGAAACTTAAAGGCAAATTTTATCCTTAGTTGTAACACTGACATTTTTATTTTAAAAGACTGGTTAAGATCTCTAATCAATCTTTGTGATTGTAATAACATGAGTCTATTTTAAATTCCATGAGAGGAGCTAAAGGGGGACCAGAACTATTTCTTCTAACTTCTCAGATTTAGTAGTATTCTCAGTCTGAGAACAAAGTGATGAACTCTAGTTGGAGCTTGGTTTACGGTTGAAGGTTACAAATTGTTTTGAGGAAAAATATATGTAGCAAGGATCCTTTAACTCTACTAAGAGTAGCAATGCTGGTCGAATGAAGCAAGGCCTTACCCGCAACTTCATGGCACCTCTGTTTGTCTGCCAGGCAATAACTTTGGAACACCACATCCAAGCAATTCCAGAATGTCAGGGAATATTCCAGGCATCATGGAAGAGTCTGATTCAGAGAAAAGTCAGGACCCCCAACTGCCTGGTGATGTCATTAGAGGAATCTCTCTGACACCCCCTACTACTGCTTACACATAGCAAATTGAGCTGCTGTCTCTGATGTGTGGGGAGATAGACTCCAGGCTAGAACAGAAACAAGAGAAACCTTTTTTTCTGGGGCGGGAGGGGGGGGGTGGAAGAGAGAGACTGGAGAAGAGCACAAGCATCAGGGACAACAGGGATGTGGCAGTTGTGGTGAGGGAAGGAGTTATAGCTCAGTTAAAGCACTTAGAGCTAAGTTAAAGAAGAAACTTCTTGTTCCACCTGAAATGGAAACTATTGTTAGGCTAGTCTGCACCAGGTGCTTGGGATTGTCGATGTACATAAGCCTGGGTCTATTGAATTTGTTCACAGACTACTCCATTGGAGAGGAGAGATAGACCAACCCAGATAATCTTTTTACAACTGCCAGTAAAATACCAAGATACCTTGCTATCATGAGATCTAATTCTTGCTAAAGTATCTAGAATGAAAAATGCCCATCACACCCTTCTGTTGAAGACGACAGGCCTTTCTAAGGGAAGTCTGGGACATGAAAACCAATTGAATTAAAGTCTAGTTTATATCTGGGAGCAAGATGAAGCAGGAATGAACAACAGGACAAGCTCCAAAAGAAAAGATTATGCTCTAATACACAAAGGTTAAGGCTACGCATCTCAAAATATATACAATAAAAACTCTGACTGGTGGTGTTTTAAACAGGCTACTTCATCTTCAATGGAACCTTGAAATACGTGTTATCTACGTATGTTAAACAATCTGTTTCACCTTGTATTTAGCTGTGACACTGGTTAAGTTTCCCAGACCTGAAGAAGAGCTTGCGTAAGCTCAAAAACTTGTCTCTCTTTCATTAACAGAAGTTGGTCCAATCAAAGATAGTTTTTAATGATGTGGGTGAGGTAATAAGTCATTAGCAATTTAGATATTTGGTAAATGTATTCTGCTTGGACAACACTTCTACCCAATTTCAAGTAAAATCTTGGTTTACTGTAATCCTAATATTGCTGTGGCTTCCACTTATTTAGATCAATTCTATTCCTATCACTTGACAAGTAGCTGACCTTGTTATCCATATGACCACTAGAGGCCATATCCCAGCTTGCCTAGCAATAGGCAGTGGTTTTGTCAGCAATAGATTATAGTACTGGAATAAAGTGACTTACAGGGTACGTCTACACTGCAATTAAAAACCGATGGCTGGCCTGTACCAGCTGACTCAGGCTCATGGGTCTCAGGCTAAGGGGCTGTTTAATTGCAGTGTAGATGTGCAAGCTCAGGCTATAGCATGAGCTCTGGGACCCTCCCATCCCGCAGGGTACTGGAGCCCGAACATCTACAAAGCAATCAAATGGCACCTTAGCCTGAGCCTCAGGAGCAGGAGTCGGCTGGCATGGGCCAGCAGCAGGTGTTTAATTGCAGAGTAGACATACCCTTCGATGTAGTCATCTGTTGTTATCATCCATCATTCTGAAGTTCTCTCTCGTTCATAATTCTGGGCTCTTATTAAATGACTTTAAAAAAACCCCAAAAAAACCAGTCATAGAACTGCCCTTTAGTACCTGCCTTAAAGAAGTTCAAAAGCAATTGAAATAACAGGGAGAAAGTTAAATCAGAACAAATTTTGTTCTGACTGAATTCCAAGTGCATACATTAAAGTGGAAGAACTTAAATATTTGACTACTTACACACTGAAAATTGTGTTCCTATAGCAAAATACATTACAGATTTGAGAAACTCAAAAGATTTATTTTACTAGTTAAATGTGCTTTAAATTAATTTTTTTTCCAAACTATAATAGTATGGAATGGTTTGCCAGTTTTATATAAGTACGTACTAAGGGCACATAGCATGAGGAAAAATGTATGCTAAAAATCCTTGTCAGCTGCTATACATTTGTGACAATATACATATTGTTCTATATGCTCAAACTGAAACAGTCATTTTAAACCATAAAAGTTATTTTACACTGTACCCCATTACAGGATGTACAAGCCACACCACTTTCTTCACTTACCATCCAATATAGCTGACTGTTTCAACACAAAGTTTACTCTTTGAACGTCATGTTCTTTTTATAGTTTTCCCCCATCTTTTCTCCTTAATACCATAACATGCTATTCTGTCTTAATTTTCTCCCCATATCAAAAAGATACTTTCATGTTACCACTTGGCTCAGTTCTGCAAGTTGAATGCCTCCAGCACGAGGCACATCACCCACAACCTCAATCTGAGCTGGGGGTGCATTCACCTCAGGGAACTGTACCCATGTAATTGTTACATACACTTATGCCTGGGTATACTTGTTACCAATATTATACCATCATCCTTCTTATGTTTCATTAGTAAGGTTTAATAAAATTGTATTAAAAGCATCTCTGACAGTCTGATGTCCGATAATCACACATTGCTACATTATGCTCATAATAAAGCAATTCTTATGGTTAAACATTTCTGTTATACGTTTCTGTTCTCTCTGAAAAATTACTTTACCCTGCACTCATTTTGTGCATTCTGAAAAAGCTCAAAAAAAGTGTAAAAATAATTATGGAATAAAAGTGTCTGTACTCCCAGAGTAGTCACTTTCCAAAGGTCAATATCTGATCTGCTTTAATTTTTGAAGTACCCAAAGTAATCACAGTATCTTATGCTTGCAAGTTTAATTGTTCTAGACTGAAGTCATTTGGGAATTATATAAGAGTTAATCAGCATCATTAACTGGTAAATGTACCTAAATTCCACTTCTCGCCTCCTGACTTGTATTACTTAAAGACGGCCATGAGTAATTGCTTTTCCGTTTTGTGGAAACAAACTTGCTCCTTATATTCACATCCTTGGAGAATAATTTTTATTAAATTATAGTTCCTATTTTATGCATGTGACAAAGTTTGGGCATCAAACCAAAAAATTCCAAGGCCCTCTTCCTCCAAAAAAACCCCAGTTTGATTTGAACTGAAACAAGTTTTTTGTTGTTGTTGAATTGAAAAACAAAAACAAAACAAATTGTTTCAAAAAAAAAATCAACCAAAATGTTTTGAGTCAACCTGAAATTAATTTTTTTAAAAAAAATTTAATTTTGAATTTTCCGTTTGATTCAGCTATTCCAGGTGTTTTTCATTTTTTTAAAGCGGCCAAATTTGAAATAAAACACACCATTTCAAATAAAAAAGCCTAAATGAAGTGTTTCAACTGCTTAAAAAAAAAAAGTTTTTTCAGCTGAAACTATTTGCCCAATTTCATGAATAGTTTCATTCCCCTTTTGACAAAAAAAAATGTTAAAAACATTTCACCCAGCTCTACCCAAAGTTTAATTACCTACCAATACTATGTACGAACATGATGCTTTGCTGAGTGCATGAAATCACTATTAAGCAGAGCTGCTAGAGCATAGGGAACAACAGACAAGGACCAGCAAAGCCTTCTTTTCTTGCCCACAGTGCAGCTTCCAAACAGCTAAAAATTTGGTCCATTACACTGTGAGAGTAAAGACAGAAGGAATCACTGAGAAAGCAGGTGCACAACTCCTAGCTTAGATGTGCTCATTGCCTGATCTTCTGATGCTCTCATCCCACTGAGGAATGTTGGGGATAGGACAGCAAACGGGACACCAGGCTCCTTCTCACCAACAATAAAAAGACATTTCATAAAGTTACTGGGGAAGGAAAAGCTACAGTTTAAATGAAAACCTCTCAAAGACTATTTGACTGTTCATTTTTTTGTTGTTAAAATATTTTCATCATTCAATATTTGGAAAGAATTTTAAATTTATGTGATTTGTTTATTTATCATAAGGCACCAGAAGTTAAAATGCATTTTGTAAAATGTTTGTTATTTATAGCGGTGTGTAGTTTTGAGCTGCATTTAAAAGTTGAGAATGTTTATAATTTGATAGATTCCCCACAATAAAAGTTTGGTGTTTTTAAAGAAAATTGCTAGTATTTGCTATTTGAGTTATTAAATGGATCATAATTTGACAAATCAAAGTACAATGTTAATGGATTGGTGAAAATATCAATCCTATTTGGATATGCATCACATAGCTACTTATCCCTTTACCAGTAAGAGTTTATTAGAGGAGCACTTCCATTAGTCTACTGATGTACCAGCATGCCATTACACAAACAAACAAAACCACAAGGCATCTTTAAAACTGATGCAACTTGGTCTGAAGCAAATTTTAAAAGAAAAAGCAGCACACACAATGACCCCTAATTTCCATTAGTACTCAATGCCATAGCCCCTCTTGACACAGAAAACGTCACACTTTATAAATAAATTTGTATAAATTTTGTTTAAGAAAAATCACCTTTCAAAAGCTGATTCAGGTCCACAGCATCATGCAAGACCTTTTGATTATGTCTGCGATCAAACTCTGCATCTAGTGAGAAAGATACAGATGTAAGACTGGGTCTCAATTTTCCATTTTCTAGTCTGCTAGGCTTTACAAATTTTGTATTGTACATAAATTCCTCAAAATTACCATGCAATTCTTGGCTCACATTTTCTTGTCTTTTTACTTTCAGTTTCTTATCATTTGATGCTGCAAGTTCAAAAGATTGGACAGGACTGATGTCTGGTGTTGACAGAGGTGTTACATCAGTCACTGTATCTTCAGACTCCTCTGTGTAATCACCAAGCTTTGGTTTTACTTCTACCGACTTTATTCCTGGCCTGAATTTTTGTCTTGGAGATAGAAGAGCCAAGTTACATATACTTCCCTTTGAGGAAGACTGTGATGAATCTGATATGCAGCTATCAGAATCCATATCTGAACCATCTGTATCTGAACTTGAGGAGGAAGAAGAGGAGGAGGATGAGCTAATATTGGTATACTTTTTGTTAACTTTCTTTATGCTACTGGATTGCTTAGCTGATTTAAGTCTAACCCTTTGTTTTTTGCCATCATCACTACTGTCTTCTTCATCTGTATAATAATCCTCCTCACCTTCTCTAACTATTTTGGGGATCCCCGCTGGAATGCTTACACGTATTCTTCTACGTAGCGCAGAATTTCTACCAGATGTACTTGCATTTTCTGAACTTAAAGAAACTGACTCTGATGAAACATTCTCACTATGGTCAGTGCCACCATTTATGGAATATTCCTTTGGTGACTCTTTCTTTTTCTCTTCACTTTCCTCCTCAGCATTGTGTTCTTGCCTCAGTTTCGTTTCCGATTCAAAGTCTGATTTGGCGATGTGCATACCTCCATTTTCTATGAGCTCACTATGTTCTTCGCCATTGGCTATAACAGGGTTTTCTTCTTTCTTTGGCTCTTCCTCAAAATCACTATCAAAGAAAGAGTGGTCCACTTCACCCTCTGACACATCTTCGTACCGGTCCATCTCAAAAGTTATTGTACAAATTCCAACTCCTGGTCCTGCAGGTGTGAAAAAGGGGTTTCAAAATATTAACAAAAAGCAGAGGAAAGTATACCCTTAGTATAATTGTAGGTTATATTATTAATTATATTATACTTCTATGATATAATTAAATATGTTATGGACCAGGTAAGTTAAATATTTATTTATAGTTTTATATGGGCCAAATAATATGGTAAGAGGCTGCAGATTTAAGAGAAACGAGCTCAAAGAAAGGAGAAGCGGCAGAGAGTTGGAACTAGGACAGCAGACCTTGTGAAATTCATAAATTAGCATAAATTAGGGGCAAAGCTGGAGAAGAAGGGACAGTGTACTGCTTTTGGACTCCACAAGGCAGTTTAATGAGGAGGAGACCAGGGGAAACTATCAACCCGGCATAGCTCTTAAGCTGTGCAAGGCAACAGAACCACAGATCTTTAAGAAAGGGGAGCAGAGACCTAAACCTTGTAGAACTCCTTATCTGGGGAAACTTCTAAATTGGCTTGACACTTATGATACTAGGACTGAGCGCACTCCTGCCTCAAGTGCTTTTTGAAGTACGGACATTCCACAGGGCCCCTCGTTCCCAGTTCTCTCCCCACTTTTCAACTGCTCTGAAGCTTCAGAGCTTTATAAATCATGCACCACTACATGAAAAGAAATGGACCACATGTAGCTCAAAAGCACCATACAGCAGCTTAAATAGTAAGAAACCCAGGGATTCTATTGAGATCCAAAGCTTCAAAGAGCCAATGAAGCAAAAGGAGACCAAGTGAGCTAGACACCTTGCAAAGTTCCTAAGCACTGCAGAGCAACAGAAGTGGAAGGAAACCTGGGGAACCATCAACTCTGCAAAGCTCCTGAATTCCTCCAAAGCTGTTGAAATAAGGACAGAGGAAGCAGGACAAGACATGCTTTCCCCTCCAGCCCCTGCCTTCCTCTTAAAAGTCCGGGGTAGAATTTGAGTTTAGCAGTATTTATCACTTCTTGAGTTGATTGGCTTCAAATATCCCATAGAATCTGACACCCAGCTCTCAGATGCATTCCTAAAAATAGCCTAAAAGGAAATGTAATGCTAAAAAAGCTTTAGTATAACAACTTTATTATAAATATTAAAGAATGAAAAAGGCAAAGTTAAAAAAAAATCTGTATCTTACATACTTTTTTTTTTTATTAAAATAAAAACTGGGAAGTGTAAAATGTTACATTAGATATTCCCAGAACAATCTTACTTGAATTCAGGGTGGATTAAAACACACACAACCCCCTCCCCCCCAAAAAAACAAACCCCAAAACCCCCAATGATTTAAAAATAAATCGGATTTTTTTTTTAATTTAAATCAGATTTTTTGGATAAAATGCTTTTTGAGGAAAAAGCACATATCTAAAGATAGTTTTAATTAAGATAAATTATAGTTCAAAGATCTCTCATCATGGAATAGGGATTATAAATGCTAATTCTATAGTATGAGACAATATATTCATGTAATGTTTAAGAAAACTTTTTTTAAGGAGTTCCAATAGTTCATGAATTAAGGACCCAATGTTATGGAGGTTCCAGTGGCTTCTGTATAGATTATTTAGGTTAATCTTTCTATCTACCCAATGGTATCTTCTAGACTGAGCACCGAGTCCCATCAGAGATGTTTAGTTTTGCAGTTCTCAAACTGTGGTTTTGTGTCTCCAGAGATAACATGCTTATTAACAGCAAAAATGTTTTTAAATAAAAATAGAGGTGAGAAATAACAGACCTCAACCCTACTGTCCCTCTGCAAATTTGTGTACACAGAATCAATCCCTTACCTCTCTCTCTAAGAGTGCAAAGTTTCAAAAAGTTCACTAATGGTTGGGGGTGGAATAGCTCTGGACAAGGAGAAGAAGTCTGGAGATAAAATGTGAGAAGGGAGGGACAGGCAGTAGAAACAAAACTGAAACTGTTTGAGCAGCATATTCCAGAAGTCTTGAGGTCTTTTGAGTGTAGCCTTCATTGATTTGAGATCTGCCATACCATTTTCTCACCAGAAGGGAAAACCTATAATGGCAGGAGGCCGTAAAAGAGACCCAGCTGGGGAATATTTTAATGAAGCTCCTCTACCTGTGGGTAAAATAGGCATGCGTGCAAAATGCAAACAGTGCAACGAAGAAATGCAAGGCCTGGTTGCCCGCATGAATCATCATCATGAGAAGTGTTCCTTCTCAGGAGGAAGCTGCATTGAAGAGGATGAAACGAATATGTCTGAACATACAGATCTTCAGTTGGTAAACTTTTTTATTACTTCATACTTCTTTCTTAAGGACTGCCGGTCTTCCTTCTGGACTATTCTTGAATTCTTACGCTTGAGCAAAAAATAGAGTTGTTACTCTATAGTACTATCATTTTAGATGCAGTTGTGACAAAAAATAATAGCTGAAATAGGCATATCTTCCCTTTACAATTTCCCCTTTAAAGTAGTACTGAGTGTCAGTGAATGCAATGAGTAATACTAAATGAGCAGTATGGTAATAATAATTAAATAACTGCATTGACTTATTTTGTTTAGGAGAATCCATCGTCAACATACAGGATTCTGAAGACTATCCACCTTCAAGATCACCATCATTTTCTACAGTTTCAGAGTTATCTGCCAATGATAGGGTTTCAGTCACATCATGTATGTCACAAAGCCACAGTATATCATCAGTAGCAAAAAAATCTCCATCATCCAGAAACAACCATAAATAAGTTTGTGATAAGAACCAGCAGATTACAAAAAGAGGTAATTGATGAAAAAATTGCCCAGTTTGTTTATGCAATAAACTCTCTTTTCCGTATGATTGAGAACCCACACTTCATTAACATGGTTCAGTCATTAAGACCAGGATACAGTCCACCCAACACAGCAGATGTCGCAGGCAAATTTCTGGATAAAGTGTATGAAAGAGAAATTGAGCAGTGTGGAAAAGCTCTAGAGGGTGAAATTGTTAACCTGAGTCCTCATGGGTGGAGCAATGTCCACAATAATCCTGTTGTATGTGTTTGTGTGCCAACAGAAGAAGGGAATGTCTTCCTTACAGAAACAATTGATACATCAGGAAATGCACACACTGCAAAATACTTAGAAGAAGTAGCAGTAAAAGCTATAAGAAACTGTGAAAGAAATATTCAAATGTCTCGTACACAGCTTGGTCACAGACAATGCTGCAAATGTATCCAAGCTGAGAAGAAATTATTTAGAAGAGAGTCCCAAGCTAATAACATATAGTTCAGTGATCACTTGATGCACTCCTAGCCAAAGACTTCAGTGTTCCAGAAATAAAGACTAATGTTGTTGAAATTGTAAAATACTTCCGTAACAACCACTTTGCAGCAGCTACTCTGAAAAAAGTGGGAGGAAGCAAGCTAACTCTCCCACAAGATGTATGATGGAACTCAGTAGTGGACTGTTTTGAGCACTATATCAAGAACTGGCCTAATCTGATGACAGTTTGTGAACAAAAAGATGGCACTGTCACAGCCAAAGTTCTTAACATTGGGCTTAAGAGAAATGTTGAACAGATGCTGAGTACCCTGAAGCCTATTTCTGTAGCCTTGAACAAAATGCAGGGAAATAGCGTTTTATTGCTGACACTGTTGAAATTTGGAAGGAACTGAGTGAGATCTTAAAAAGAGAAATGTGCAATGACAGAGTTAAATTACAAGCATTTAAAAAACGAATGGGACCAGCACTATCTCCAGCTCATTTTCTTGCAAATATTCTCAATACTCAGTACTAGGGTCAAACCTTAACTGCTGAAGAAGAAGAGTTGGCTACGACATGGACATTCAGCAATCATCCCTCCAGAATGCCAACTATAATAAACTTCAGAGCTAAGGGTGAACCATTAAAGAAATATATGTTTGCTGATGATGTTTTAAAGAAAGTCACTCCAGTGAACTGGTGGAAGTCACTTAAGCACTTGGATTCAGAGACTGTTGAAGTAATAATCTCATTTTAACAGCAATAGCTTATTCTGCCGGCGTAGAAAGAATATTTTCTTCCTTTGGACTAATTTATTCCAAATTGAAAAATTATTTGGGTCCTGAAAAAGCAGAAAAGCTTATTTTTCTTTTCCAGATTATGAACAAACAGGAAAATGAAGGTGAAGACGACTGAGTTAGCTGCAGAAGCCAATATTTTAAGTTTCTCATGTTGACCTGGCTGACATTGTAGATTTAATTTTTGTTTAAAAAACAATTTTAACAAAAACATACCTGATTTTAAAAAGGTGAATGTTTAACTAAATTCAAAAATTCTTATGCTTGTTAAAATATTATGTTTGCTGTTGAAGAAAAAAAAATTCAGACTACATAACATTGTTGTTTTAGTTAAATAAAACAATGTAAATGTCTGTCTTGTGATGTTCTCCTCCTAATACAGCATGGCAAAAAAATCCTCCAAATATTAATGATTAACGTGTCGAACTGGAGATATTTATGAAGTCATTGCGAGGTGAACTATCTGCTTTATTTACCTTTGGTAAATGAAATAACCAAACAATCATTCATTTTCTGATATAGCTGTAAAACTAATCAGAAAAGTTTTCAAAATAAATCACTTTAAAAATTTATAGTGTGTACCTTCTAAAAATGAAACCTACATCTATCTCTGAGTTGCGAAGAGTATGTATTAAGGTTATACCAACCAACAAGAATGCACTTTTATGTAGAAATCCATGATTAAATCGAGTCTTCCGGAATAGTGATTTAAATCATGATTTAAATCAAATCCACCCTGCTTGGATTCCTCTCTTTCTTTAGGTTCAGCTTTCATGAGACCCACAGTTATGGAAGTACCTGTTTTATAGTTGTCATGAATGAGACATCAGTTTTATTAAGATGATTAATACAACACATATAGTATTACAGTTTAACTATAAATCCTTTATATATATACGTGTGTGTGTATATACACACACACACACACACACTTATATATCCTTGACCGATATTGAAGAGGTGTCCTTGTGTCAGTAGTTGCATGACTCTTCTTTGTCTCTAGAT